GCCCAAATGTGGACCAAACACAGGCGAGACAGCAAATGAGAGCACACACCAACAGAAGAGTCTTTTCTTTTTTAGAATATTTTTTAAGAATAATATTAAAATAATATTTAAAAATAATATTAAAATAATATTAAAAAATATTTTAAAATGGAAAATTAACCAAAAAATGGCCCAAATGTGGACCAAACACAGGCAGGATACAGCAAATGAGAGCACACACCAACAGAAGAGTCTTTTCTTTTTTAGAATATTTTTTAAAAATAATAGTAAAAAATAATATTAAAAAATAATATTAAAAATAATATTAAAAAATAATATTAAAATAATATTAAAAATAATATTAAAAATATTTTAAAATGGAAAATTAACCAAAAAATGGCCCAAATGTGGACCAAACACAGGCAAGAGACAGCAAATGAAGCAAGCAGCACTCACAGCAGCAAGGAATGAATCCAATCCCAGTTGCTAGCAGCCATTGCCAAGCCAACCCAATGCAACTCCCTCGCCCTCTGCAGCAAGCTACGGGCCGCGCGGAGCCGCTTTGAAAGGGCTCGCCGGCCAATCAAAAACAGGCAGCCACGGACCCATGGTGCACTGCTTGGGAGCGCCGGATTGGCTCCCATGCACCAGCACTCCAGCAGCCTCCACCCCATTAACGAAACGAGCGGAGGCTCGTTAAAACTCTGGGGGCTGCTGGTTCGATATTTAAAAACCCTTCCGGGTTTGGAAATATGTTTCAATATCGCTTCGGAAATGGTAAAATTAACGAATTAATAACGAATTAACGAATTAACGAACGAAACCGCACAGGCCTAATGCATGCGTGCACACTGCCATGTGCCGAGCATGCTTGCTTTCCCCTACCTGCTTGGTGTCTCAGAAACAGCCCTCCCCTTGGCTGAGAGGTCGGACAATCACAGCAGGAGGAGGGCTTTTGGTGGAGGATTCGCCTTCTGTTTCCAAAAAGGAAGAGAACGGCAGGCGGAGAGATCTTCAGCCTTCTCTGCCAAAGGGGTTCCTAAGACCATCAGAAATATGTATTTTCTGATGGTCTTTGGAGAGCCCTCTGTAACCCTCCTCACAACCCACCCCCCCGGGGTACTGATCCCCACCAAAAAATGCTGCCTTAGGTAAATGTTGGGATCCCGGATATTTTTTCTGAACCCCACCTAGTGGCTATTTTAGGCATTTACACATATTTGTTGTGTAGTGTTTTCAGTCCTCTCTGCAGGAGATGCTTCAGCTATAATTCATAAAAAAGGAAAATCAGCCTGTTTAACAAACCTTGCAAATGATGATACGTTATCAGTAAATATTTTGATTTTTTAAATACCTATTTGATATACCTACTAGCCGTCCCCTGCCACTCATTGCTGTAGCCCAGTCTGGTGATCTGGAAAATAAAGTAATGAGAAAGTGTTGGTTTCTAATATATGTATTTTTATTTTTTTTTGCTTGTGGGTAAACAGTATTTCTTGCTGTTTCTTTGTCAGTGTCGATGTGGAGAGAGTCTGGTTTGCCTACTCTGGATCATGCAAGATAGCATTGTCCTTCTTTAGGGTCCTTTTCAAATCTATGATACCATATCTCTGTGTGTGAATCATATATCTCTCTCTATATCTATGGCTGGATGGCTCTTTGTCAGGAGGGATTTGATTATGTTTTCTTGCCCTGGTGAAGAGAGTTGGACTGAATGGCCTTAAATATTTTATGTTGGTCATGGGGATTCTGTGTGAGAAGTTTGCTCCAGTTCTGTCGTTGGTGGGGTTCAGATGCTCTTTGATTGTAGGTGAACTATAAATCCCAGTAACTATAACTCCCAAATGTCAAGTTCTATTTCCTCCAAACTCCACCAGTGTTCACATTTGGGCATATGGAGTATTTGTGCCCAGTTTGGTCCAGATCCATCATTGCTTGAGTCCACAGTGCTCTCTGGATGTAGGTGAACTACAACTCCCAAACTCAAGGTCAATGCCCACCAAACCCTTCTAGTTTTTTCTGTCAGTCATGGGAGTCCTGTGAGCCATGTTTGGTTCAATTCCATCATTGGTGGAGTTCAGAATGCTCTTTGATTGTAGGTGAAGTATACATCCCAGCAACTACAACTCCCAAATGACAAAATCAATTCTTTTTTTTTTAGTGATGGTCACTCCTTGGGTTAGTGGGTGTCTTGTGTCCAAATTTGGTATCAATTTGTCCAGTGGTTTTTGAGTTATGTTAATCCCACAAACGAACATTACATTTTTATTTATATTACTAGCCATCCCCTGCTACACATTGCTGTGGCCCTGTCTGTGTATATGGGTTTTTTTTTGTGTGTATGTGTATATATGTATATATGTGGTTTTGTGCATGTGTTATAATGTAATTTTTATTTATTTTTTGCTTTTGAAGTCTCTTCTGCTGTGTTTTTCAGTGATTTTATGAGTGATGGTCACTTGTTGGCCTGATAGGTGTCTTGTGTCCAAATTTGGTGTCAATTCGTTCAGTGGTTTTTGAGTTATGCTAATCCCACAAGCAAACATTACATTTTTATTTATATAGATTTATTATATACTAGCTGTCCCCTGCCACGCGTTGCTGTGGCCCACATGGGGGTTCTGTGTGGGAGGTTTGGCCCAATTCTGTCGTTGGTAGGGTTCAGAATGCTCTTTGATTGTAGGTGAACTATAAATCCCAGAAACTACAACTCCCAAATGTCAAGGTCTATTTCCCCCAAACTCCACCAGTGTTCACATTTGGGCATATGGAGTATTTGTGCCCAGTTTGGTCCAGATCCATCATTGTTTGTGTCCACAGTGATCTCTGGATGTAGGTGAACTACAACTCCCAAACTCAAGGTCAATGCCCACCAAACCCTTCTAGTTTTTTCTGTCAGTCATGGGAGTCCTGTGAGCCATGTTTGGTTCAATTCCATCATTGGTGGAGTTCAGAATGCTATTTGATTGTAGGTGAACTATAAATCCCAGTAACTATAACTCCCAAATGTCAAGGTCTATTTCCTCCAAACTCCACTAGTGTTCACATTTGGGCATATGGAGTATTCGTGCCCAGTTTGGTCCAGATCCATCATTGCTTGAGTCCACAGTGCTCTCTGGATGTAGGTGAACTACAACTCCCAAACTCAAGGTCAATGCCCACCAAACCATTCTAGTTTTTACTGTCAGTCATGGGAGTCCTGTGAGCCATGTTTGGTTCAATTCCATCATTGGTGAATTTCAGAATGCTCTTTGATTGTAGGTGAACTATACATCCCAGCAACTACAACTCCTAAATGATAAAATCAATTCCTTTTTTTTAGTGATGGTCACTCTTTGGGTTAGTGGGTGTCTTGTGTCCAAATTTGGTATCAATTCGTCCTGTGGTTTTTGAGTTATGTTAATCTCACAAACGAACATTACAGTTTTATTTATATTATTTATTATATATTATATACCTATAATATATACAATATTTATTATTTATTACAGATCTAGGGTCACACAAAAATGTCTTAGGCCAAATGGCACCCCAAATGGAAACATTTCCGAAGCCCTGTTCTAGACAACGTGCCCTCAATGATGGAAATAACACATTTGAAAGGAGAGTATAAAGCATGGGGATAAAGAACAATACAGGAATCTTACTGAAAATGTGCACACCAAAACAGCAGAAGAATACATGAATCTTACTGAAAATGTGCACACCAAAACAGCAGAAGAATACATGAATCTTACTGAAAATGTGCACACCAAAACAGCAGAACAATGGTTTGCCCTACTGGAGCAAACCAAAGGCCAGTTTAAGTAGCCAAAAACATCCCTACTGTGGGAAGAATTTGAGATAGGTGCAAAGAAAGCTTCCCATCCACAGCCCCATACAGGTCTCTGTCACCTGTGCTCCAGGCCTGTTCACACAGTAATTGCCACCTGAGTAATGCTGGAGCATTGTTCATAAGTCCACCTGTACAATGAGGCAGTGACTTTGTTCTTTGCTGGTGGTCCTGAACACACAACATCATGATTGTATCTGGATCCCAGAGGAGTTCAAAGTCAGAATGGCTAGGAAAAGCCAAAAGACGGATACCTTCATAGAGCAACAAGGAAGGTCTTTGTGCTATCACTGGAGAATAGGCATTTGAACCTGTAGGCTCAAAATATGTTCCTTTGGTACGATGGAGCAATGACGATCACAGGATTCTATGCAGTTGGTTCTGCTTTGTGTTGATTAAGAGAAAGAACTAAAGACAAAATATACACAGTTGGTTTGAAGACTTCCAGTTTCTCTCAATCTAGAGAAAGCCTGCTCTGCTTCCTCCTGAACTAATAAGGCAATTCTTATTATAGAAGCAAAAAACTTGGTTTATCACTTTATTTTTCACGTAAAGAAGGAGTAACACAGTTAAGCAGGACATGGAAAGCCACAAGAATCAAATCTCTTCTGTGTGCTTGGAAATCTGGACTTTGGTTATTGGGCTGTAGGTCATTGTTTGAAAGGAAATGAAATGAATCTGCTCTTCTTGCAACAGGCAAACCAAATTCTAATATGTATTCCTCCAAAGGAATGACTGAATTAAAGTTTGGAAAGTTATAATTCTAAAAAAAGAATTATAACTTTGTTATGTAAGAGACGGTGCTAATTTGGAGGCTGACCTGACTCATCTAATAAACATTCTGGTACTCGACACATTTTGTCATTTATTGAGTTGTTCTTGATTTGTTTGTATATTATTGTTGGCACTGAATGTTTGCCACCATGTATTTGTTATAAAGGGCACCCTGGTGGGGCTGCAGGTTAACCCGCTGAGCTGCTAAGCTTGCTGAGTTTGGTGGTTCAAATCCGAGGAGCGGAGTGAGCTCCTGCTGTTAGGCCTAGCTTCTGCCAACCTAGAAGCTTGAAAACATGCAAGTGTGAGTAAATCAATAGGTACCGGTGCTCCATGCAGTCATGCTGGCCACATGACTTTGGAGGTGTCTACGAAAAATGGCAGCTTCAGCTTAGAAATGGAGATGAGCCCCCCCCCCCCCCCCAGTGTCGGGCATGACTAGATAATGTCAGGGGAAACCTTTGCCTTTACCTATTTGTTGTATACCACCCTGAGTCCCCTTGGGGAGATGGGGCAGGCTATAAAGTTTCATTCATTCATCCATTCATTATAGAAATACCTAGAAAATAATGAATATCGAAAGCAACGGAACAAATGCTAATGTGTATAAGCAGCAGCCTGACCCTATCCAGGAATACAAAAACATATGCTGTGGTCTTGTTTACATTTTCAGAGCTAGCTGTACATGAAATCTAAAGCTTTAAAAAAGCATTCACTGCAGTTGTAGTTGATTTTGAGAGTTCAACTCAAAACTGAAATGCTCTTACTTTTAGTAAATCCACACTCATATATATATATTTCCAGCTGGTGCTTTTCTTGGGCAGAATTCTCCCTATGGCATTGGCAGTTAATTGAATCATAAAGTTGGAAGAGGGCATATGGGCCATCTAGTCCAACCCTAAGTCACTTTGAGAAATAGGGAATGAAGTGGCTTAACCTTTGCTGCTAGAACTCTGTGGTGGTGTCTTGGGTCAGTTCTGACTGTAGCTCCTCTTCTCTGCACCCCGTGAAGCCGCCTTTATGGCTCCCCATGTCTAGTCATGCTGACTTGTTGAGGACTCCAGGAGGTGTGCAGGTGGAGACGCGCTCGCGGGTGGTGTTCTGGGCTCGGCTGAAGCTGCTTTGTTCCATCCGTACCTGGAAAGGGAGGCAGAACTCTCGGAAACAGCGCTTGAAGTTTTCATCCAAGAAGGCATAGAGAATAGGGTTGAGGCTGCTGTTGGTGTATCCCAGCGCGATGCAGAAATGCAGGCTGGCCATCACATAGGGGTTATCTCTGTCGATGCCCACCAGGGTCCAGACAATGACAAAGATCTGGATGGGCGTCCAACAGATTATGAAGGCCGCCACCACCACCAGAACCATGCGCGTGATCCGACGCAAGTTGCGGTCCTTTTCCTTGGAGCCTGAGAGGAGGCGAACACTTTTCAGGCGGAGGATCATGAGTCCATAGCAGATGGTGATAACCAAGATGGGAACCAAGAAGGCGAAGATGAAGACACATATCTTGGTGATGGTGTCCCAGTAAAACTGAGGTTTGGGGAATTGGAGGAGGCAGAAAACCATGTTACCTGTACGAATAGGAAAGGAAAGCAACAAGGAGAGACAGACAGACAGACAGACAGACAGACAAAGAAAGAAAGAAAGAAAGAAAGAAAGAAAGAAAGAAAGAAAGAAAGAAAGAAAGAAAGAAAGAAAGAAAACCAATAAGGAATCTGGTTATTTAGGAAATAACTACTCTCCTTTTGAAGGTTTAGTGGCACAGCATGCAAAAAGGTCTTTACTTTAGTTGCTAACATCTCTATGTCTGAAATGCTGGAGAGCTGCCTTCCTCTCCATGTAGAAAATGTTAGGGCATGTAAAAATCAGTTGGTGCGAATGTTAACTGAAAATGCAAAGCAAGAAGCTGATTAGTTGGGTTACACCCAGAGACTAGCTGAGCCTGGGAGTTTTGGCAACAGTTACATATTTGGGCTTGAGCTGTGCAAGAGCTTGCAGAGAGATAGGTCAAATTTTTGCTCCTGGGCTGCTGGAAGAGAGTCTTCTACATGGACGCCCAACGACCATTTGAATGTCTCTCAAAGGACATTGTGTGAGTCAATGCAACTGTTCACATGACTGTAAATATGTTGCTCTGCATTACAAAGAGTAAATTTCTTGTTTTTTTACAGATCATATGTGTGGCATATTTTCTTTCTCTGGCAAGACAGTGTATGGAATGGTAAAACGTGAACTACATGTGATTTTCATTCTGCAATAGTAAATACGAGGGTTATCCGGAAAGTAAGGTTACACGGCACATAGCTCTCATGGGGAATTTTCATGGGGGAATTTAGCATCACTACCGTGTAGTGGGAAGCCAGGGGAAGCAAATGAGCAGTGCCAGTCATCAGTAGCTCATCAACTGGTGTTGTGGCAAAGGTTAGTGATAAGCGTTCTCATTCTGTTTCTCTCCAAGTGCCAAATTTGTGCTGTAATACGTTACCAAAATGCTCAGAGCATGAACGCTGCTGCGATTCATTGCAAGAAAAGTCATGGTGTCAGTGTTTTGGGACAGATAAAGGGGTTCTGCTCATTGATTTTTTGGAAAGAGGCGAAACAATCAATGCTACAAGATATTGTGAGACCACGAAGAAACTTCACAGAGCCACCAAAAACAAACATCATGGATTGCTGATGGCAGGGCCGTAGCCAGAAAAAAATTTCGGGAAGGGTTGAAAATTTCGGGGGGGGGGGGGGGGAAGGAGGTTTGAAAATTTCGGGGAGGGGGGGTTGAAACCTGCCTCCTAGCTCACGCTGAAGCAAAGAGCACAGCAGGGGGCAGAGCAACCTTCATAGCCTGCAGCTCAACTCCTGTCAACCACTTCCACCAAGTCTGGCCTCCTTAATGAGAGCATTCAACACACACACACGCACCCAACTTGGTTGCTTCACTACATCGGCTATTGCTGCAAGTAATGACAGTGTGAATAAATTGTCAATATTTGCTTGAAATAGTGCTTGCAGTTCTGGAGGGACTCTTAATTTTTTGCATCTCATAGACTTAGCATGGGGATTTGGTTAACCAGTTAAAATTAATGAGTAAACCAGGTTTTTTAAAAAAATCTGAAACATTTCGGGGGGGGGGAGGGTTGAACCCCTAAAACCACCCTCTCGCTACAGGCCTGGCTGATGGCAGGAGCCTGTCTTCTTCATGACAATGCGCGTCAGTCCGCACACCGCTCATGCAACACAAGAGTTGTTGACTTCATTTGGTTGGGATGTTTTAAGCCACTCCTCTCATAGCCCTGATCTCACACCCAGTAACTATAATCTATTCACTAAATTGAAGGAACACCTGGGAGGAAAACACGACGACGAGGTGAACATTGAAGTGACAAACTGGCTGAAAAAGGCGGAGGGAGACTTCTATGACACAGGCATCAAAAACTCATCCCACGTATGACAAAATGTATTGAACTGAATGGTGATTATGTGGAAAAATAATGTAATGCATACGCTACAATCCATGTATGTTTTAATAAAATATATTCTTTCTTTGTTTTTGTTTTTTAAATCTTGTAGCCTTACTTTCCGGATATCCCTCGTATCAGACTGGAAGCACCAATAAGGCCACTTCCACTCTTCTTATTTAGACACTCCTTTATTTAGAATTGGATAACTATGGAACATTACTTAATTTTCAAATGAAATAAAATTAGTGGTAGAGGATTTATATGCAGAAAGTTCAGTATGCATCTGTTTGGAAAGATCTTTTATCTGAAATTCAAGAAAACAGCTGCCTGCCAGTGTGGGCCAGCCTTGCCCCGCACAGTGAGCTACCTCTCCCAAACTGTCTTAGACAATGAATCCAGGCACTGCTGACAACTACTCCATGTAGAAGATAAAGAGCTAGGCCATCTGTGCTTTGCTGCCCAATCTTGACAGCAAGGCACAGCTGGCATACTTACTTATAGTGTCATCTGTTTAATATAACAACCGTAAGGACATCAGGGCTTGCTGCTGTTGTAATTCCGTATTAATTTCAACATAGTCAGATACTGCTGAGATTGTTTTGTACAGAACTGGGCTAAACTGGAAGGAGCTCACAAACGGAATACAGCATACTTCCTTGTTTTCTTTTTGGAACTAAGAATGAGAAACTTTCTACATGCAAAAAACAAGAGCTCATTTTATCCTAATTAACACTACTCTGTAATGCATTGCAGCTGCCAAGAACAGGAACCATGAGAGTAATTTTTTTTATTGCAATCCTCAGAATTCCTCAGTGGGTCTACTGGAAGGGATCATCCAAAAAGTATTTTTCCCTAGTTCAGCCAAAAACCTGAGACAATCTGTCAAGCTCACTTTCTTCAATTTTGAAGTTTTTTAAATCTCAAGTACCGTATTTACTCCGTTCTAATCCTCACCTTTTTTGACTAAATTACTTTCTCAAAATTAGGGTGTGCATTAGATTCACATCATATGGTAAATAATTTTTTGGGTTTGGGGGTTTTGAAATTTGAGGTGCGCATTAGATTTGATGGTGCATTAGACTCGAGTAAATACAGTATTTTCCATCCTAACTATGTGGGTTGCAAATATCGATAAAGTCATTGTTCCAATTGATCCATTTATGTTGACTAAAAAGATGGAAACTTCGTGAATCAACACTTATGAAAAAGGCATCGATTTGGGATCAATGAGTCTACAATCATTACACACTACAATCTGGTCTAAGCCTGCCAAATCTACTTAATTTATATATCTGATCTAAGCAGCAGGTGTAATTGAATTCTGGCATTGCTAAATGCTCAGGGATTGAAAGCCAGACTTGTGCGTAAAAAGTTGTGCGTAAAAAGGAACAGGTTTAATTGTCACACAACCAGACATCAAGGGGCCGGGCTTAGCACAGCGGGTTAAACAGCTAAGCTGCAGAAAATCTTGCCAATCGAAAGGTTGGCAGTTCAAGCCTAGGTCGTGCTACGTCAGCCCCAGCTTCTGCTCACATAGCAGATCGAAAACAGCGATGTGAGTAGATAAATAGGTACCGCTCTAAGCTGGGAGGTAATAAAAGGCACCCATGCAGACATGCCAGTGATTTGATCGGGAGGACGTCTATGGGCAACAAAGCTCCTTGGCATGGAAGATGGAGCAACAGCACCATTCCATGGCTGGAGTTGAGCCTCCAAATGCCAGAGATGGAAAAAGATGGGAAAGCCTTGACTTCCGTTTATGTATTGTCTGTCCTTGTTAATTGTATAACGACACTGAATGTTTGCTGTATATGTGCTCTGTAATCCGCCCTGAGTCTCCTCGAGGAGATAGGGAGGAATATAAATAAAGTATATTATTATTACTACGAGGTTATCTGGAAAGTAAGGTTACAAGACACATAGCTCTCGCAGGGAAATTTCGCAGGGGAAGTTGGTATCACTGCCATGTAGCGGGAAGCTAGCGGAAGCGAACAAGCAGTGCCAGTTGTCAGTAGTGACTGACGTTGTGGTGATGGTTAGAAACAGAATCATAGAATCATATAATCATAGAGCTGGAAAAGATCTTGTGGGCCACCCAGTCCAACCTCTGCCAAGTAGCAGGAAAAGGCACCCCTAACAGATGGCCACTGAGCTTCTGCTTAAAAGCCTCCAAAGAAGGAGCCTCCACCACACTCCGGGGCAGAGGGTTCCACAGCTCTCACACTCAGGAAGTTCTTCCTAATGTTCAGGTGGAATCTCCTTCCCTGTAGTTTGAAGCCATTGTTCTGCATCCTAGTCACCAGGGCAGCAGAAAGCAAGATGAGAATCCTCATTTCATTTCCCTCCAAGTCTGAAGTTCACTCTGTAATATTACCTAAATGCTAAGAGCATGAACGTCACTGCAATTCATCATGAAGTCATTTCAGTTTATGGAGAGGACGTAATGTCAAGACAGGATGTGACAAAATGGGTATGGAATATATTGTGAGACCATGAAGAAACTTCACAGGGCCATCCAAAACAAACACTGTGGGATGCTGATGCCAGGAGTCTGTCTCCTCCATGACAATGCATGTCTGTCTGCATACAGCTCATGCAAATCAAGTTGGAGCAAAAAATTCCACCCACCCTGTGACAGAATAAGACAAATTCAAGAGGTTCAGAAAAGGGAGGGATGGATCATCCTTAACAGAGGAATTCTGTTTTTGAGGGTTGTATCTTGTTCATAATCTGAGGCCCAGTTGACTTAATTTTGGCATAAATTGAACTGCATATTCCTAATTTCCAGCTCCACGTTTGCAGATTTATCTTATGTGGGTTTGATGAATATGTTCTTTCTAGGAATCTTTAGGTAACTTCACATCAACTTCAACCAGAAGTTGATGTAGAGTTGCTTCTGCCAGAGGTTGACAACAAAGTCATCAAAGGTTGACTATAGAGCCTTTGGTTGGCTTTGCTTTCCTTCTGGTTGACTACAACTCCCAGAAATCCCAGCCAGTTTACCAGCTGTTAGGATTTCTGGGAGCTGAAGGCCAAAACATCTGGGGACCTACAGATTGAGAACCACTGCTATAGAGTAATCCTGAAGGACCTAAAGAGAACAATTCTCTATGAATCTCTAAATCCTCCATGGGAATTCTACAATCAGCTTCCATCATCCTGGAGAACCTAAAGATCCACCAAGAGTGAAAAATGAAGTTAAAATAGCATTTTTATTAGTAGTTTTTCCCACTTTCATGGGAGGTCCTATGCACCTAACCTCAGGGGAGGGCTACTGTAATTGTTTAAGGCATCTCTGTGTTCTCAAGCTTCTAGAAGGAGCACGATATACTTGCCATCCGACTTGGTAACAGCCATGATCATGATAGGCACCCCAATGATGGAGGAGACGACCCAGATACAAATGTTGATTAATTTTGCTTTCGCGGGAGTCCGGAAATCCAAAGCTTTGACCGGATGGCAGACCGCTACGTATCGATCAACACTCATCATGGTGAGGGTGAAGATACTCGTGAACATGTTGTAGTAGTCGATGGAAAGGACAACCTTGCAGAGGAATTCCCCGAAAGGCCAAGTCCCCATCAGATACTTAGCACTCTGGAAAGGGAGCGTACTGGTGGCCAAGGCATCTGCCAGGGCCAGGTTGAAGATGTAGATATTGGTGGCCGTCTTCATCTTGGTGTACCTGGAGGGGTGAAAGGAATGGAGAGTCAGGAACTGTTTCATCTGGTTGTTTATTGCTCAGAAAAGCTGGACACATTCAAAGGCCACACATCTGATAATTTTTCTCCATCTTTCAGTCTATTGTGCTGTTATACTGAAACACACTTGCCATCAGATTGGGTAACTGATGACCTGCCAGATCCTGTAACTCCCATCAACCTTCTCCAGTGACATTGCAGCTTTGGACTAAAAAAAGTACTAGTCCGACAAACTCTAGGGCAATGGTTCTCAAAACATTTTAGCCGCTGAGCCCTTATTGAAGCAAAAGTTTCTCATGGAGTCCCAAGAAATGTTTATATATTATATTTGAATAATATTTAAGCTATTTGGCCAGGATCATACATTTTGACAAATGGTAGATTTGCGTGAAGCCCAAAGGATTGACGACAAATCGGATAAAGGAATACCTTATATTATATTATATATAATGTATATATATCAGGCATGGGCAAACGTTTTGATGCATTTTATTTTAAAGTTTGACAGATGGGCCGGGCCAGTGGCAGAAGGATGGAGAGTGTTTGTGCGAACTAATTGGGGCGGGGTGGGGGGGGGTGGGGGGTGGGGGTGAACAAATTCCTATGCACACTGCACAGATCTCATTTGTTTGAGGGGGGCGGGGGGGGGGGGAGAACAATACAATATTTAAATAAAGAATGGTTTTAACCAACATGAACTTAACATTATTTCAGTGGAAGTAACCTTGGAGTGATTCAGTCCAACCCCCTTCTTTCTGACATTCGGGAAAAGCACAATCAAAGCACCCCCAACAGATGACCATCCAGCCATTGCAACAACACTAATAGCAATAATAATAATAGAAACCCATTCAGGAAAAGCACAATCAAAGTACTCCTAACAGATGGCTACCCAGCCTTTGCAATAAGAAGAAGAAGAAGAAGAAGAAGAAGATGAGCAACCCCATGGGCCATTCAGTTCATAGAATCAAAGAGTTGGAAGAGACCTCATGGGCCATCCAGTCCAACCCCCTGCCAAGAAGCAGGAATATTGCATTCAAAGCACCCCTGACAGATGGCCATCCAGCCTCTGTTTAAAAGCTTCCAAAGAAGGAGCCTCCACCACACTCCGGGGCAGAGAGTTCCACTGCTGAACGGCTCTCACAGTCAGGAAGTTCTTCCTCATGTTCAGATGGAATCTCCTTTCAAGTCCCTTCTGCCAGGCAGGAAAACACAATCAAAGCACCCCCTGAATGGTGGGAAGGAAATGATTTTGGAAGCAAGGAGGGTGGGAAAACTTGGAGGGGGAGAAGGAGGAGGAAAGTCCGGAGTCCCTCAGTATGCTTTGTGGCACCCCAAGGTCTCCACAGAGCATACTTTGAGAACCGCTGCTCTAGAAGGTCACACATTCCCCATCGCTGATGGAAACCTTTTTGTCAAGCACAGCCATAACCGATTGTTCACACATTCTTTTCACTTCTATCTAAACAAGAAAGTTTCCTGAACTCCAGTCCATCTGCCTTTGAAGCTACCAAATAAAGGGAGTAATAAATACTTTAGCCACCACTACTTAGATAGGTAGCCATTGGAAGCTGTGGCTGATCTGAGTTGGTTCCGGAGTGGAGCCAAAGACTCTGAGTCTCAGATTCAGAAGCAAACTGAATAAGATACAGCTTGGACCTCATTTGCATTTTATACAATTTCCTGCTAAATAATAATCAGAATATATCTATGAGAAGGGCAGTACTACTCTTGAAATGAATAAAATCTTTGGATCTAAGCCCCTGGCCATGTTGTGACAAATGTAGAAGGTTGCAATGATTGCACACCAGAGCAGTGCCACAATCCCATCTGTTAACCTAGGAGCTTATCATAGTAGTCAATTGTTTCAGGTTGTTCCATTCAAAGATCTACTTTGCTTGTATTTTCATAGATAGCTAAATGCTATGATTACATCCTCAGCATACTTGTACTCCTAGACAGCTCTTAAACATGAAATTTAAACATGTGTGCTTTGTTACATCTCTGTTTTCTGTAGTTTAATACGAATGTTAAAGAAATACACTTTAATATGTATCTTTTATAGAAATACATTTTAGTATGTGTATTTCTGGTATTTTTACAATGTTTATGTGTTTTAATTATTTTGTAACCTGCCTTGAGCCACGAGAAGGCAGGTAAGAAAATTATAATTATAATAATTATTATTAGAAACACAACAAGATGGGTCCACAGCAGACAAGATCACTCTGCTGGCTGTTGTATTGGATCACACGTCGGACACTTACCAAGTGTCTAGGACTGTGTGATGTATCGGCAAAAATATTTATTTATTTACTTTATTTATATACCGCTTTTCTCAGCCCTCAGGCGACTCAAAGCGGTGAACAACATCAATACAAAACACCACGAGGCAAGTATAGAGCAATTAAAAACAACTGTAACATAAATCATTAAACATCCGTATAACAATCATTAGCACCTCAACAGTAAAATCAGAATCCAGTCTCATCATCCATTATTCCGTATTCATATGTTCGATTACACTGTTTAATCAAATGCTTGTTTGAACAGCCAGGTCTTCACTTTCCTCCGAAACGCCAGCAGGGAGGGGGCCGATCTGATATCTGCAGGCAGGGTGTTCCACAGCTGAGGGGCCACCACTTAGAAGGCCCTGTCTCTCGTCCCCGCCAAGCGTGCCTGTGATGCAGGTGGGACAGAGAGCAGGGCCTCCCCAGATGATCTTAGTGTCCTAGTCGGTTCATAGGAGAAGATGCGTTCGGAGAAGTAAGTAGGGCCAGAACCGTTTAATACAAGATAACGGGATCAGTACCTCCAAGTTTCAGAAATATTCACATAGCTACTGATGTTTGGGAATGTTTTAAAGTTTTGACAAAAACATTTACTGTAATGCGCTTTACGTGGGGCTGCCCTTGGAAACGGCTCGGAAATTCCAACTGGTTCAACGGGCGGCGGCCAGGATGTTAACAGGCGCTCCTTACAGAGAGAGGTCAACCCTTCTGTTTAAGGAGCTCCATTGGCTGCCGTTTACCTACCGAACCCAATTCAAGGTGCAGGTGCTTACCTACAAAGCCCTAAACGGTTTGGGCCCTGCCTACCTGCGTGATCGCATCTCTGTGTATGAACCCACACGATCCCTTCGTTCATCCGGAGAGGCCCTGCTTACGATCCCACCTGCGTCACAGGCGCGTTTGGTGGGGATGAGGGACAGGGCCTTCTCTGTGGTTGCCCCCCAACTCTGGAACACCCTCCCCAAAGATATTAGACTAGCACCCACGTTGGCAGTCTTCAGGAAGAATCTGAAGACCTGGCTATTCCAATGTGCCTTTCCGGAATAGGATAATCTCCAACACTACGTCCCAGAAGCACTTTATTAGAATTTAAGACTCTCTGCACATTGCACTTGCCCGGAAATCCAAAATACCACCTGCCACACCCAGCACTTTTTTTAACCTGTACCCATCACTGGCCCGGCCCTGGTTTTTATTGCGTAATTGATGTATTGTTTTCTTATTGCTTATGTTTTAATTTGCTTTAAATTGTATTGTTACTGTTTTGCTGTTGTTGTGTTGAGGCCTTGGCCTTTGTAAGCCGCATCGAGTCCTGCGGGAGATGCTAGCGGGGTACAAATAAAGTTTAATAATAATAATAATAATAATAATAATAATAATAATAATTTTTAAAAAAGTCACAACAGCTATCTCATTGAATGTCATTAACCAATAGAATTCAATTTAAGTATTTCTTCCCAGCCTAGCACAGATTTACTTACTAGTATTAAAGTATCAGTAAGTCCTCTTTGCAGATTCAACGATTCATTGAAACTCTGGCTGTTGCTACGAAGGGAAAAATCTCTCCCCTCTCCTAATTGGGCTTCCTGATGCTGAGCAGAATTCTGGGAAATGTAGTTTAGGGCAGGGCCTTTTGCATTATCTGCCATAAGGCTCCTCTCCTTCCTAAACTACATTTTCCAGAATTCTGTGCTCTCTGAGTCTCTTTTCCTGCTCACTCACTTTGTCCTGTCCTGCTGCTTTCCTTTCCTCACGGTGAGAGGCAACCTATCTTTTCTTAAAGAGGAATGGCAGCCTTTTGGGCTTCCCTTCACTTGCTTGCGCTGAAAATGAAGCTGACTTCTGAGAATTACAGAATTCAAATCAAAAAGTATTGGGTGAGTTTTGATTCTTAAGTTTTTGTGTGCCCCCCCTTCAGTGTTTCTTAATATCTATTTGTATATACAAAACTTACAAATTACATAGGACTTACAATTTAAAAATGAAGATTTGCACATCCCTAGTAGACATATGGATTTATCTAAACTACATTCGTTAACAAACAAACAAAGGGGATTCCACATCTACTCAGCAATCACACTGCGCATACACATTCACTCATCATCATGCATACATCACCATTCTTCCTCCATCTCCTGGAGAAGAACACTTGCACTTAGTCCAGATTACTTCCCTGCAAATCTGCCACTTTTCCAATACGTCCAATACTTTTTCAAAACACACTCCTTCCCGTCCAACCTGAGAAGGAGGCAGATGACTAGACTTCTGTTTTCCATGCAGGTCTGTCACCCTGCAAATACACCACCCCTGTCCTTCCCATGGAGCTGGATTGTAAAGTATCTCTTATATAGAAGTATTTCTTGCTGATGTTCCAATTGTCTTTGTAAATGACTGACAAGTGCTTTCTCAGCCAAAACATGCTGACCCCCATCAGTTCCAGACAGATGTTGACTTTGCTTCCTTAAGTGATAATTGGTTTTTCTTCTTAAGGAACATTGTTAGCTTCCTTCTTAAGGTAAGAAATCATTGTAAACACTTCCTGACTTAAAAGAATCATTGTCTTTGGTAATGTAAACATGTTGTTTTCCACCAAGGGAACAACAGCTAATCTTTTGTCTTTGGTCATCAATGTTAGCAGTTCGGCAGTTCTCATTAGCAACTTTTTCATTTCTTAGGATGGCATCTTTAGGCTA